ACTTTAATGAATTAGTTAAGTTAATTAATTAATTCTAATCGGTGATTAAGGTCAATTGGTTTATTGTGTTGAACATAGAAACTGGCCATCGCTCGGGCGGCTGCAGGGCCTGGTCAGTGAGGTTAAGACGTGCGCACGAGGGTCTGCGATCTTGGGTTTGAGGCCATCGCCCGAGGGATCCTACCTCCACCGAATTGAGGCCATCTTCGGTATTACTGATTGAGGCTATCTCCGTCATAGGCAATAAATGTTAAGTGGTTTGACTTTGGTGAAAGTCTAAATTGGTTTGACCGGTGGTCAAAGAGTTCATGAGAAACCCGTAACACCTAAATCGTTTTGAAAAGAAAGAAAATAAGTTGACTGTTGGTCAACCGTCTAAAGAACAGAATGTAAAGTTGAATTGATTTTTATTAAAAGGATAAACATATGCGCGATCTTAATTGTTGAATTATTATGTTCATTCTTGTGCTACAATGGAGTACCACTCAGCGTCAATGCTGAGCGGATAGCGTTGTTTTCCTTGTTGCTGTCCGTAGGTGAACAGACAGATGAACCTAGAGCCGATCCCAGAGGTCATTGAGGAGGAGATGTACGATGGCGTGGCTGTCTCTTTAATCTGTTGATATGCTTTATTTAATTAACTTTAATGCTTATTACGTTTTCGGGCAAGATCCCAAGTTGTTTGACTTTAAAAAGGCTTCCGCATTATTTTAAATTACTCCGATGGATTTTTATATGTATTGATAGAACTTTGTTTTAAATTGTTTTGGAAATGTCGCAAATTCGGATACCAATTCAGTGGCACACCGGTCCACTGTCTCACGGGTTTGGGTCATGCGGGTTGGGGTGTTACATTTTGGTATCGGAGCATTTGGTTTTAAAATCGGTCTTTGGACCCTTTCAAAAAAAAAAAAAACAATGAATAATTCAGCCGCATCTGCATCTCACGTAACTCCTCTGCCCCGGGAAGGTAATAAGTATTTATAGCTTTATCTGTTATATGTTAAGATCTGACTTGGGAATTTCCTTATTATTTTAGAATGAGTCAAGAATCGACCCACGGTCAGTACGTTCCGGAGCTGGAGCACGTGAGCGTGCACACGGTGAACACCGAGGGTTCGAGTTTCACGCCTCCGGGTGACGGAGGGCAACAGCAGAATCAACCTGCGCCAGCGGGACAGCCACCAGCTGTACCACCGCCAGTCGTACCACCGCCAGTGATGCCACCGTTGGCGATACCGCCGGTGGCCTACGAGCAGATGTTCCCGGCCATGATGGCCCATTATATGCAGCACATGGCGAAGTTTATGCCCATGTTCCAGCCACCGCCACCACCACAGCCGCAGCCGCGCATCCTTACCTTCAAGATGTTGAAGGATAATGGAGCAGAAGAGTTCCGAGGAGACAATATGGGGGAGCCCCAGATTGCATTGGATTGGCTTGAGCAGATGGACCGGGTACTCAAGAATTTGAGAGTCCCAGATGCTGATCGCTCGGAGTTGGCGTCACAGATGTTCCGGAAGGGAGCATATGATTGGTGGAAGCGCATTGACCAGGATCCACACACGCCCAAGCCGTGGACCTGGGATCGCTTTGATCGAGCCTTCACGAAGGAGTACGT